TCCAATTCATTTTTCACCGGTAGTTTCAACCGCTCTTACCTATGGAATTTTAGGGTATATATTCCTGCCGATGGAGGCTTGCGTTGATTTTGCCGTTGGATTTCGCCCCTTTGCTTTCTTATCATTTTCTCTCGTCTAGTGTCGCATTGTATATTCTCAAAAGACCAATAAAAATCGTTTATGAAGACCTGCTAGTGTTTTGGCCATATGCCATATTTCCTCAGCAGAGGATAGTGATGATGTTTATTGAATTGGACATGCGCCACGGCAGATTATCTATGCGCTCGGGATCATACGTTGGTGCAGTTGCACATGCCCAATCTAGTTAATGCCATGGTCTGCCGGGGACAGCAATACCTTTGCTGGGGAGGAAGTCAAAAAGCTTTTCACAAATTTCTCCCACGGCGAAGGTTCGGATATTTAAACAGGCTTTCCCTTCAAGGCAAATAGAATTGCATCTGTGTCAATTCAGGAAGGCAGAGATGAAGTGGCGCAAATGCTGAGTAACCCATTTAGTAGGTGACGTCGGCGCCTAGAACCTGATTTAACCCACCTTAGCGGATAATGATTTGCATTACGCTTATTCGCCGATTCGCGAACTCCTACTATAAACACCTCGCGCTTGTTCCACTTTGCGTGCGCAAAACACACCAATTTCTCTAACTGTGACAGCGCCCTTTAGTATAAAGTAGTGTGTTCTGGAATATTCTGGAAGCTTGAAAATCGCGTATTAAATGGGGTGACTCCGGATTTTGCCAACCAGTTTATAATTTGTTCTTTCGCAATGTTTTGAAATGAGACTCGGACCGCTACTATACTTTGGAATGGCTGAAGGGCGGATGGCGAGGCATATCAGCGTCGATCGATATGTCGACGTGGTCTGTGATTTACAATGCTCATGCAGAAACTAAACCCTTGAAAACGCTTAAACCTGTGTGCTTTTTTGTGAACATCGACAGGGAGCATTTAAATTGACTGCTTAGTACTTTGCGTTGAGCAGCGAAGTAAAAAAGGATGTTCGAGAGCGGCTTACGTTTGTGAAATTCTAGTATGAGCGGCGTGAGTCATTAAGCTGGAGAGGTATCGATCGACGCCGACGCCACTCGCTTTTTACTCCTCGGTCAGCGCGAAGTATGGAAATGAATTCCGATCGATGACTTCAAATTGGCTTTTTTTACTTAGGCACTTGCGCACTAGTACATAACTGCAGAAATCAAGCCAGGAAGTTGGTGCTTTATCCCTTGGTAAATAGCAAGTAATGAATGCGAATTTAAGTAACAGTTAAATTAAACATGGATAGTTTACATCCGTTGAAAGACGGATAGCAATCAGACAGTGTACCACGGGAAGCAGTTTTAACAATTTGTAAGTGGGAAAAATACCCTCGTTACCCCTTTTGAGAAAAAGTTAATTTCACAAAAGTGTTTGCGATTACGAAATAGTACCGAATTATAAATGTGAGTTTGATAGCATTTTACAAATGACCGTTGAAGAAATATTCAAGTTGACTCCCAAAAGGAAAGGGAAGGAGTTTGACTCCCAAATAGCAACTCATCCCAGGCCTCAACAAACCATTCACTTCCTTGATTCAAATACCCCTTAAAACCAGGATCGCTCCTGGCGTTCCGTACGGTATAATGTAGATAGCAGATTTTTGATTCGTGGGTGCGGATAGAGGCATTTGCTCGATGTTTGATTCCATTCACCTACTGGTTTCGGGTCCTTCACGAAAGGATCCCCTGTGTATAGTTATATTCATAAGATTAAACAGAAAAACATAGATACTTACCGATGCCAAAATCTTCTTGGGTAATCCAGCCACTGAGGCGAGGAGCTGATGATAGTCCTTCTCCGGTAGATCACGCAACTCTTTTGAGCACTCGGATGACTGCAATACGGTAAATAAAATATGGTCAGAGAAAGAAGCAATTAAATGAAATAACTAAAAAAGATGATAAAGCAACTTACTGTGATATTAGCACTGCTGGTCTTCCTTAGTTTATTCCTAGATGGCATAACACACACAATGAACAAAACCCACAACGTAACCTTCACCAGTATCGGACGTCAACTAAGTCAACTTTGAGGATCTGTAATTAATTGCTACTTACTCAAACCTTATATGCATAAGAAATAGAAGGTGACGTACTTAAAAGAAGTGGGGAAACCAACGAAATAACTCTGGGAAAGATGAATTGTGAAATCTGCTTAGCGATTGTTAACACGATTATTTAAATGATGAGGTACGTAATTCTGCGGAGTTTCCGCAATAACACAACATCTCCGCTACCGTATTGTAGAAATTCTGCAAAGCTTTCAGCAAACAGTTTCATTGACACTTTACTGTAGCCTTGACAGCTGCTCCTAATGAGTAATGATTACTTTTTGGGATAGTTTTCAGTCATTTTTTGGAATTAGGCTCCACAGTTCTTCCTTGGAGGACTGTGTTATTCAGAAAAATTTAGATTTGGCTTGAAAGCGCTTTCCCTCCTACGAAGGGATTCGGTCGTTTTCCCGAACAAATCCGTCTAAAGAAAGTTAAGTCAACTCTACAAAAAACCTTTACTATCATTTGCTGGGTGATTTAAGGGTTCCTATCATGGAAAATGGGGAGGAGAGGGCTGGGGGCACATAGTCTCATACGGAGTTACGCCGAATTCCACTTGACGAGACAAAGTCTACGATCAGACAGACGATTACTGTTCAGTTTTGAATTTAGTAAAGAATAATAAAATGTGATAAAAATAAGTAATACAGAGCGATAATCTTAGGTAACAATACTAAATGTGAGGTTAGTGGAGGTAATGTTGAAAAAACCGAATGAAGAACGATCAGATATCTGAAAATTGCCCAGGAAAGTTTTGAAGTTAGTCTACAAAGAGCTAGATCGATAGTCATGAGCACCGGCTGATTGCTGCAATGAATGATAGGACCAGTAAAGTGGTTTCCGGTATACGTGAAAGCTGGTTGGAACGGGGCAGAAAGTGATTTGTTGATTCTGGCTAGGACAACAATTGTTCTGGGAGCAAAAACTGTCAGACGCCTATTACTAGGGTGGGTCTATGGCACATGAAAAGGTGAGATTATATTCCCCTTTGTTAATAGTCACTTTACAACAAGAAGGTCCCTTTAGCTCAGCTGTAGGCTGCGCCTCGCATTCGATTCCTATTCAAAACCGTAGTGCGTTTGATTGCGTATGTCACATATACAGGGGCTTTCGGTGACCAG